ACATGTGTGTGTCTTTTGGTAAAGACAAATTAGTTGGTGTCAGTAGTAGCTATTAGCTAACATCGGGACATAGCTTCATCAGTCCGTGAGCAGTGATGAGTGAGCCACTGATAAAGAATTGTTCTTGCTACTTTTTAAAATATCCTCACAGTTTTCTACACCTCCGATGTGTGTCCATCTACGCCAAATTTAAATGCAAAATGCTTTGATAAACAGCGATGGTGTTTCCTCGTAATTGTAAACAACAGCCAAGTGGAAATATGGAAACTGCTTTCGCTATGAATTATGGGTAGTGGCGCGAAATCTGTAATACTGTGGATACATACAGTATAAGTATTAGCTCAGGGCTAGCACAAAAGCTAACAGGTTAAACTGAGGTTCTTCAATCCATGAAGCAGCTCTGTTGTCCTACATCCATACAACTAATGTTACAAGTAACTGTGGATCATTTTGAAGTAGAGGAGAGGTTTTTAGTGACGACTGRTGGTTAYTTTTTAAAGGAGTGTTTGTGAGATGGTTCTTAACAAATAGTGAAATCTTGCAGTGTTTCAATCTTGCGAGACCTCAATACACCCCATGTTACACTGTTTTAATTTTCTCCCTAAATTAAAAGTTTGTCAAATTGAGTCACACTTTACTTCATAACTGTCACAATGTCTGCCGGTGCAGAAGGTGTTTATTACTCACAGTTCTTCATTATTAAGGAGAGTAAGCAGCTCCTGCACCAGACCATCRCAGGACAGCGACGGTTTACTGACGATCCCGGTGAAGCGGTCCTTGCCCATCAGCAGCTTCCTCCACGGAGTATCCAGCAGTGAATTACTCAAGCCGTAGATCCCTGCTGACAGACGAGTGCACAATGCAGACAAATATATACACAGTGTTCTGCTGATGGCCTTTTGGTGCGTTCTTCAATAAATAAGGACAGTCTGAGAGCAATATCAACAGAAATGTCAGGCAAACATGAACAGGCCAGAGGCCCAGAGGACAGGTAAATGTGAAATGAATGGTTTCCACAGCAACCATGTTAAAAACACAGACCTGGATTTAGAAGGATGGGTTCAGCGCTGCCTCTGTTTCCATAGTAACACATGGTGTCTTGTTTGGCTCTAGATGGGACATAATATCAWGGAAAATTAGACACTGTGCTTTGATCATTCAACGTGTTTTTACAGTGAAAGCTTTGTCAAGAGTATGAACATAAAAACATGTTAATGAAATACGCACAAGAACAGCATCCATATCAAAAAGTAAAAAAAGACAACTTTATATTTAAGAAATGTGGCAAATTACAAATATTTTACCCCTTTTGTTACATAATTGGCAAATTTTCTATTGAACTTGGCTCAGTCAATGGAAACAGGAAGTGACATCAAAGGGGAGTTACTTAAGAAAARGAACTCCCTGGTCTTTGTTTACTGAAACAATGTATTTTTAATTTGGAATCTTCTTCATTTCTTTGACAGTGACTGAAAATCTACAGAAACATCAGATTATCCTTTACAGTCTGTGCTGTCAGCCATCGTAGCAATGCTTTGTTCACATTTGGACATCCCCCTTTGACATCACCTCCTGTTACTGTATATGCAAATATCTCAACAACTGTTCATCTCATCATCATAAAATTGTTTTTGCAACATGCTTTCAGTGTTATTTTTTAAAAAAATGTGTTCATATTTATTGCAAAAAAATTGACGTCAGAGGCACTTTAAAKGACTCACTCAGAAACATAAAATAATTCCTAAGGATGAAGGAGAAAATAAATGGTGCATCACACAGTATTGGTGAATGACTGTTTTTTGTTACATTTTGGGAATTAAACTGATTTCCTTTGTAGGTGTTCAWGTGACATAATACTATAGATTAGACCATAACTGCAAAATTTAAACATTTGAACCATCAACTACATCAAATTACATCTTTCAAAGTACAAATCAGTGCTGCAAACACCTTTGACTGACACAAAACTGGTGCATGTTTGATCTCCTTGCACAGTCCTCAGATAGAGGGAATTAATTCATTTTGAAAAAATCGATGCAACATCAAGGGCATCTGTCATGGCTTTGGTACAGGGGAGTGAATCATAAATTACGACCAAATCCTTTGAAGTTGACAGCGAATTAACTTTTTGATGTCCGTTTTATGACAGCCATAGCAGTGGCATCAGTCAATCAGAAAAGTGGTGCAACACTGCTTCAACATATAAAATGGAAGCCATCACATTACAAGACACACAGGGAAGGAGCATGTTGCTGGGCTTACTYGTTTCTTGAAATTATTCAACTGGTTTAAAAAAAACTAAGTAACATGAACGCAAATATTCAAATAGATGAACTAAATTGGTATTTATGTTTTGGTTAAAAGAAAAAAAGCAGCTTCCTTCTTCTGTTTCATATTTATCCATATCTATTCTTGTTCKTTTAACCACTTTAAAGCAAACAAGTATTTAAAGATAAAAAACACTCCTGAGATTTATAAACATAGAGAAAGTAAGAATAAACTTCCACTGCCTAAAAGTTAAACACAAACTGTTCGATTAATGGGAGCCAAATAGAGTTCAGAACGATTTAAATTGTTTAAAAGACTCCTCCAAAAAAAAGAAAGGAAAATCAATCCTTATTCACTTTTTCACAAAAAACAGGTAGGGAGGTGGAGTATGGCAGCTCGGGGAAAGGGGGAGGAGGTGGTTCTGCTTGACAAAACACATGGTACCGCCCGTGTGACAGCATTACGTCACCACGATGACATCACTCGTTCAAAATGGAACGACTAYGAAACAAATGAAGCGTCAAGATACGGATCCCTTCACTGAGCCATTTATCCTATCTCTAAAGCCGTACGCTGCACACTAGGGTCGTGGGGTTGTACCTTTGATATGAAAGTCCCGCCCACACATCCTCCTAACAGGCTGTCAATCAAAGTCTAACGTGACACTTTTTTTTTTTAAAGCCCCATATAACAAATTTAATTTGATGAATGTGTATATGTATATCTGGGTGGGTAAGTAAGTAGGTAGATTTTTAATATTTATTTGTGTGTGTGT